GTACAGTGGTTTAAGCATTGGGCTGGTAGCCAAAATGTCATCAGTTCAAATGCCGGCTCTTCCAGTTGGCTTCTGTGAAGACTTAGTGTTGGAAACCCTATGGGCCAGTTAGTTCTACTCTGTCCTATAGAATTGCTGTATAGGGGGTCTGGTTTGGGTTTAGTGAGGAGGGTTTCCATGGCCTGACAATGATACCTACTCTCAGATTGAAAGAGATTTTCACTACAAGGGGGCCAGAAAGAAAACCCAATATTTTCATTGGCTGAGCTAGAATATCACTATTTTACAAGTCAAGTACCCAAGTGTGTAAAATTCTTTCTAGAGTACAGCTTTCATGGAATTTCTACAAGCCCTCTTATCAGACCTAAGGAGTGCTCTCTATGCTTGGGTATGGTTTTGGGTAATGGGGGAGTGTTTGCTCACTTCTGAGTAAGAATGCTAGTTGTCTGAGGTTTGGAGGTACCTTATTAACCAGGGAACATCATCAACACTTATCACTATAATTGTGAATAGCATTAAATATCACACAGAAGAATTCATTAGGCAAGACACATCTAACATGAAACAACAAAGTGTAACACTGTGGGTCCAATGGGAGCTCAGCAGGGGATTTAGAAGACCTGGGTTCTAGTTCCAACAATGCCCTTGATTCAGAGGCCCCAAAGTACAGCTTCTTCAATTGTAAATTTAAGGGGTGAGTATGGACTTTTCTGAGGGCTCACTCAGGTCTAAGACTCCAGATACAAATGTGCTTTCAAATTTTGGTTGGTAATTTTAACAGTGAATCGTGATGGGGGTCAGGGGGAGTATCTGAAACTAGACACGTGGAAAAGAAATTCAGGCAGGGCTGAAGAATACATTCTTGTAGAGCAAGTATTTAACCTTCTCTCTGATCTGAAACACACACAGCCAGGAGAAACACTTCTGGAAGTTATTCATAGGAGCAGATGGTGAATGTGGGCTTGAGGTGGGGGGTAGCCCGGGGGCCTCCCAGGTGCACCTTCAGCCCACCCACACCCAGCTCCCATTGGAAAGCTATTGAACGGGACCCAAAAAAAACTCATTTAAAAACCACAAGGGGGCTATGTGTGTTAGATGGTGTGGGGTACATGAGTGGGGAAAAAAAAAATAGTCACAACTCACAGTATTGATTAATTGAGTGATTTTAGTCAAGTGAATATTGATACAAGACAGGAAAAGCATGAAAATAAAAATGAACACATACGGGAATTACTATTAACATAAGTGATAACATCAAAACATCTGGTAAAATGCCGTCTAAAAAAACAACACAAATGAAATGGAATGTAAAACATTTTCACAGTATTCAAAGCTTTTGGAAAAGACTTAGACTGTAAGAGTGGAGTGCTACAGGAGAAACTAGAGGAGAAAGGGGATTTGTCTGTGTCCTATGTGACTGCTGGTGACAGATTAGAACAGGCAGTACATTATGCCACGGGAGCTGCCTAAGGTATACTTCTAAACCAGGTCATCTGAGACCACCCGATCTACGGACTTACAACAGAGCAACTAGTTACTTGGAGTCTGATGAAAAACTACAGGCTCATTTTGGACAATGAGATTTCTGTCATTTTCAGAGCTACATGAAAATTTGTGCTTGGGTAAGAGTCTGCACTGGGGAGAACTTGGTGTTAATCCATGGACACCAAGAGCCAAGTGAGACACAGAATTTCTTAAAGGTAAAAATACTCTCACAATTCTCACCTGACATTCTATCTTCCAAGGTGCAGCTGAGTTCTGCCAACCACCTGGCAGGACTCTACCCAGAATGATTATTTTAAACATTGAGATGTATGGGCTTGGCATGGGGCAATAATTACCAAATCATTCACTGACCTCCCTCTTTTGGGAAAACAAAGGATCAAGCCAATGAGTCTGCACATTGGTTTTGTTCTATCTTTCATTGAGAAAAAATAACCAAGTTTATTTAAAAAAGAAAAAGAAAATACAGCTTTTGCCCCTGAGCCTCCATTTCCAACCTTAAATTGTTGATGGGATGTAGACAACACTGGTGTATGTCTAAAGTGGTCACAAAGAACACAGGGAAACTTACAAATCCAGGACCTCTGAAGATGGGGGGGG